TTGAATGGCTGTAGGTGTACGAATTCACAGGATTCTCGATATCTAGTTCAGCAAAGTTTGTCGAAATCTCTCGTAGTCAAGTCTTCGCGTTTATCAAAAGTTAAATCAACTGCACAGGTAGTTGAAGCTGTAGGCGACTGCACTGATTCCTCTACTGCTGATGGCAATCTAACAAACTGAAATAGTGGTAAAGAAGTCGACCTATCACGTGAATGTTCTCTTACGTTGCCTGGTAAACTAAGTTTAAGCCAAACAACGTGTGGCCCTCATCCAACATAGTCGATCAAGGCGTAATGCAAATAACCAAAAATAATATTGACAGTTACTAACCACTTAACTACATTCATAGTTTCACTCTTCGCTCAATGGTTGAGAATGTTATAAACAGTAGTTTTAGAGAAATAGGTTGAATGTATCCATAGCTAACTTACAACCTGCAATGTTGTCATAGAGAGTAGCATAAGTATTCACTTATTATAGTCAAAATTAGGATACGAGAGACGATGTGATGATATAGGAATCAGGAAAAAGTGAGTTAAATTTCAGGGATGCAAAATCTTAATGAGTAAGTGTTGATTGAAAATTATGTAGGTTTCTGTTTGCTTCCGAGGAGATGTTGGCAGTTGATAGTAGGCGATCTGAGCAGATTGTAACAGATGTCATATGTACGTGAATTCAGTGTTGAGATGGGTAAGCAGCTTACACAATCAATCACGAAGACAGAATATATGGACGTAATCACCGATAAGATGAATGACAAGCAATGACAGTAAGGTGGTCTACTGGAGGCCTGATTATTTGTTTAGTAAGAAATCGTATCGAATGAATAGTGATTTCGTCAGTTTTGTCGAGGTATTTACCGTGACTCAATATTCTGTGAAATTTTTGATCAGGTTATAATTAGATGTTAGCAGTTAAAAATAAGTAGCAACTTGTTGGTGAAGTACGTGACCGTTACGTAATAGGGACAGATTATTCATACTTGAAGAAGCCGAATTAGGGATGAATATAGCGAAATGATTACTGGAAATCGAAAGTGTGTCAAGGACTGAAAAATAGTTCTCATGAGTTTGTTTAAAATAGTTCTTTGTTTAGCAGACAGTCAAGTCCCAGTTGGAATGGGATATTGGTCAGGCTGGTTTTATTGTGGAAACAAGCGTAAACTAGAAGAAACGGCATAAGATTAGGAAACTTTAGGAGTTTTGTCTTGAATGGCTAGTGTGTTTGGGGTACACACAGATGCGTACCAAATTATTGATGGTGTGGAGACGTTCGTAGATGGCCACTAATCGAAGGCTATACAGGTCTCTTAAGTTGGCATTAAGCAACCTCAACCTTCCAATAGGGTAGGGTTATATTGATAAGCGCTGAGTTTCTGTTCTATTAGGTGGTAATACTGAAGAATTTCCTTGGAGAGCTTAGCAGTCGCCATCTGTTAAACGTTAAGTAGGAACTCAGTCGAAATTAGAGAGCAGCGCGGCATGATGTGTTTAACTCGTCAACTTATTCAGAGAGTTGGACTTGTTTTAAAGAAAAGTCCACTCTACTACATTAGTACTTAGGTCCTGGAAGAAACAGTGGATACACTGAAAGCGTCGTAGACGTATTTTCCAAATTATTTCTTAAGTGATGTGATCAATATGTCAGCCACATTGGATTCAAAATAACACTGAAACAGAGTATAATTCCACTTTGGATAAGTTCATTTTATGCAACATTGTGTTAATACGTGGATGATGTTTCCAGTACAGTTTCTCGCTGATAACTATATCTATATAATTCAGTTTTCCACATCCGGGATACACATTGCTTCGGTAGCGTTGGTAGTACAGCGGTTAGTAATCTCGCCGACCATGCACATGGTCCGGGATTCGATCCGCTGCTTACACACACCTAATACTGATGGTTGGCCTGAAAAATTTAGCTACTGATATCACATGCTGAAAATGCCTTACTTCTACCAGAAAGTACTGCGTGGAATCAAGCTATAACCAAAAAAAATTTAAAAAAGGTTTAATGTATCTGACGAAACAAGATTTGCTGATTGGGATCTGTCCACGTGATTGTATTTCTCGATTATGGATAAGATTTTATTTTGATAAATCACATATCACACATATACAGTGACATTAACTGTTGACCGGGTTTCGGGCACAAACTATTGCCACTCATAATCATATCAAGTTACTCACACAACTTTTTCCTTTCATTTATATGCATGTGTGGGATTGACTAGATATTTGAATAAACATCAATGTGGGATAATGTACATTCAGAAATAATAATAATATGAGTGTTGTTGATCAATTACAATCAAATGGAAAATAAGACGAGTGTTTTATTTCCCATCTGATTGTAATTGATCAAAATAAAATCTTATCCATAATGGAGTTATACTCCACCACAGTGCCCAAGTTTTATACTTATATCAATTATACTTCTCTTTGGTACTCTGACATCTTGCCTTTTGTGTGATAACGTCAGAATAAATTGGCAACAATGGCCCAGCTAGTTTCTAGTTTATTCGAATGAGCGAAGTCAGTAATTCTGGAGATAACTAAATTCAAAGTCACGTAGATGTTTAGAATTTGCATGATCGCACCGATAGTAAATGTTAATGTAATCGTGGCAGGAGGTTGACCAGGGTCCAAGGAAATCTACGTGACAAAATCACACAAATAAGAAAAACATTGCTACTGAATAACTCCCTTGCAGTATTCATTCAAATTGTTTATAGGCTATAAGAAAAAAAGCTGGATTAATGTGAGTGGTGGAAATAATGGCTGATTTACCGCCTCAATACTGCTTGAATAGGAGGTAAATTGCGATAATTATCAACAGGAGAGGGTAAAGCAAGTTAGGAAGTCACTCAATTACTCACAAATTGTTATATCAATAAGGAAACTTACTAAATATTCCGAGATCAGGTTTCTAACACTAAGAAATATATTCGACTGGATGAAGTAACTTTCTGATATTTACTGTGACTATAATTTCATTCCCTTATGCATCGATACTCGGAAACATGTGTCGACTAAATTCAGTGCGAAATCCTGTTTACTTATAAACTAAGCTTCACTAAAGCATCCCAAATGTCTTGAAACTATTTCCCTTATGCCAAGCCTTGCAGCTTTACAACTCAATGACACTTCTATAAGTTAAAGAGTATGAACACAACAATTGAATATCATCAATGTTATAATGGTGTTTGATAGTTCTTAGGGGTTACGCCATTCGTCGTGTGAGTCGCCACCTAGTTGTTACTGTTAGACATCCAGAATTTTAGAATTGATGGGGTACCTAAAACTCAGGAAAAACTACTCAGATTGATCTTGACTTTTCTGCCAATAAGATTGCGGATAACAGATTGGGTGCAATCATATATATGTTCCTCTAGGAATTAAAGGAAATCATATATATTACTGCATTGAGAAGAAGTTTCTTGAATGCCATTATATACTAAATATAACCAATCGTCTGACTAGTGAAGTATTGGAGATCACTGTTTCGTCGAGATCTGGACGTCTTTATCACCACACAACTAGGTCGATATAATTCAGATCCAGTGATAATATAATTTCAATAAACTATAAGGAAGTGTGTTTTCCGATTAACCAAATGAGACATACAGAGTTTTCTGTATTGAATGAAATTTTATATAACTAACTTCGATGACTTCTACGCTTATAAGAATCAACACGTCATCCCCTCGAAGTATCAATCATTTGAACTTCCTAGAATAGAATACGTCACGATTCCATGGTTTTCTACGTAGCGTTGCTCTCTCCAAGAGGCTTTTAATACCATAAGTTACCTCGTTTTCAGAAATTTGAATTCACTAGCTTCAGTTTATATGTGCATGTGGGACACGCATAACTTGTGTTGTACAAATGGAAGCAAATAACTACTTCCCACGAATCCTAATTAGACGTTTAAATAACATAAAGAAAACTACTGGCCATGTACATGAGCTAATCCACTAGCAGTCAAGTAATTCGCATAAAATTAATTTCAATGGCACATGGTTCCAATGTAGAAGTTTGTAGTGCATTCAGATGTGCAGGCTATCACAATTCACAGGTGCCCATAAACTCAGATCTAAAAGAAACTAGTGTTTTGTGTGTCATTTGATAATCATTATTGTCACTATCAACTGCATACGCCATCACAATATACAAGTCTATATAAGAACACCGAGACATTGAATTCAACAAAAAATTCGCAGTGAAGTGTTTGTATAATTTGGTCTTAAATGTTAGAGGACGAATGTTTAGTGAAATAAAGAACACCACTGTTTGTACTGTGACTAGATTTATTAATCGAAAGTTCATTTAGTGAGCAAAAAAGGTCTCGGAAAGCAGCGTAGCCTATAACACTTCTAAGATAACATGAGGTAACGTGGGAGTCATCCTGGAACAATTATTATCACGATGGAATAAGGATCTTTTAACTACCGCCAGGACCTTTAAAGAGATAAGAATAACACTGCTAACTCGTATTATGAAAACCTGGAACACGTTAATTCTGGTGATGCGTTCATTGAATATTACGAGCAAACAGCATTGAAAACAGTAACATACAATGAAGTTACGTATTTGATTTACAAAACTTTCCGGTTAATGAACATTATTTCATGAGTGGCAGTTACAATTCAGTAGATAACAAGGTTCTCCTATCGAGAAAATGAAATTATACACCTAGTTGTTGGAAAGCTAGTATCGGACATTGTTTCAGCACCAACTTAATTTCTGGAACATATTGCTGTGACAGACATCAACTGTAGTGACGTAGCAGTGATTATGACCCCAGGTGTGCAGGAATAAAAGCAACGCAATGACTTAATATATCCGCCCTCATATTTGCTGCGCCGGACCAGACAAACAAATACTACCACAGCCTTTGATTCCACGGAATAGTTTATTTTTAAAATATCAAAGCTTAGAGTAATCTCTCCAAGTGTTCTTGAAATTGTGGGTGTGTGACCCAAATTCAATTTAAAGATGTCTGCATCTGGGAGTGGTCGTGCACGTAATGTTTTTGATGCTCTACTGACATTTGTGAAAGTTGAGAAAGGTTAGTGTTGAGTATCTGAGTGTATTGCAGATTTTGTATTCAACTAGCACTAATTTCAATGTGATTCTTGATAAATGTATTTCTGTCTCAACCATAACCGTCGTAAATGTAACAATGTAGTTGTGTTATAAGTTAGTTTCCCACTTGAGGCGCAATTTTCGTCTTCTGATTTACACATGATGGAAATGTCAACATTCTTTATCTGGACACAATTGCTTCCATGTTTAGTTTGAATCAGTTTAGATGTATTCGTGTTGTTCACAGATTACCGGACTTTTGAATTTCTTTGTTGGTGTATTGTCGTGCGTAATATGACATCCTAACTGGGAGAACTCGAGTTCTTATAAGTGATCTGTTATAAGTACTTCTAAGTGTGCTTAAGTGACCATATGCTTGTGTTTAATAATACTGCTTTGCTGTCAGGCAATGAGTAGACGTATTCTCGAAACCCAGCTGTCAATATACTCTTTTTTGAAGTTATAAGTGTTACCAGAAGATGAACATCACTTGTGTCTATGTGATGATGTATCTGATGGTCAAGGGGTAACCGTAAGGACTATGCACCATGACCAAATGGCGATTGGAGCAAGAATGTGTCCTAGTTTCTCCTAGTTGTTAGTTGACATGCTAAGCCAGTATTTATAGCTGAGTGGATTTTGGAAGGTGAACGATCTGATTGGTTGTTGCCGTTCATTCTTGGTAGTGGATCTACAGCTGCTGGTTACATTTTTATGAAAGTGAGAAATCTACAGTCAAGTTGTTAAAAGCTAGGAAAAGTTAAAATTCTTAGGATATGTATATTTGTTCAGCATTTGTTAGTGCATATTGACGAGGAAATAGGTGAGAGAACAATCTTAGCTATGATATGCTTCTGGATTCCCGTATCTGTAGTGCGACTTGTCAAGTAACTTGATGTGTTAAGCACTTGATTTCATCTTTGAAAGGGGTTGAACAATGCGAAGTGTGTTTCATCGCTCTTCAGCTCAGTGCTTCTGTTTTTTCTAGATGAGTTTCCACTGCTAGCTTAGGTGTTGTTATCAGCTCCCCTTCGTTGCCGAAAAGTGTCGTAGCCAAGGGTACATTGATAATCTATGCTAGGAATTTCTGCATTCACTTCTGTTTGAGCCTTGTTAAGTTTTGACTGCTTAGGATTTCCGTAATAAGTCTAAGTCCATGTAGAATAGGTAGATTTAAATAAGGCTGAATAATAATCTGACATTTATTAACTGGTATTTTAACTGCAGGTAAAATGTGAAACAGTAGTCCTTATATTCAGTCTAGTCATCGATATGACATAAGTATAGATCTATAAGGTCCATGACTCTTCAAATTCTTCTGAATCAGTTGTATTGCCGCCGTTATAACACTTCATAGTTTGAGTTAAATGGAGGTGTAAGGTGTGGAGTAACCAATCTCCACATGACGAATGTGTACAGACAGATGGATATTAATTAAGTTGTCTTATCTCCAACACATGCACGTGTGATATCCGGCTACTCATAAAACCAGTGTTAAGTGTGCATATGTTCGCTGTGAGGCTAAAGGAGTAGTGTTTGTACTTGTATGTGTTTCTATAAATGTCCACGTGAGATACAGTGATATACTAAGTAACGACGAGACTCGGCTGACTGATTGAGCTTTCCACCCACAATTTTGTAGAGAGATTTGTGAAGTTGAAGTTGCCTCATTTTATAGCTCATTGAAAGTGAAGATTTAGAGAAAGTATAATGGAGATAAATGTACTGGAGACTGAATGAGCATGTAAAGTTTAATGAGTTTGATGGTTCTAGTAGTTTATAAAGAGTGGATACTTTTGCGTTTTTGAAGAATATTTTGAGCCATTTGATGAGTCAAGTAAGTTGAGGGAGGCAGGTCAACTACTTGTAATGTCCTTCTGCACTTGTGTTACATCCACTGAGCAACTGCATTCCTCGATGAGCGATGTGTACGGAAGAAGAGTAGTTTGCTTCAGAGTTGTGTGTATGGTGAAGCCGATGTATTGCACCAGTGCAAGCATCCAGTCATTCACTGTTAGTTTGAGTGAAGAAGGATGTGTGGACTACCTGGCTTGGACGTTGAAGTTGCTACGAGTCAGACTCTAGAGATTCTGTGGTGTGGGTTAATATTGTTCACGATGACTGCAAAGTGTGTATACCTTGAGGTTGTGAGAATGCAGTTTTTGTCGTTGCCGTAACTCTTTGTTCATAATTTTTTGTCTACACTGGTTTCTGCTTTTCCGAAATGTGTTTGTAGTCATGCCCAAGTGAGTCCTCAGTCACCCAGATGACATAGATCTGTTTGATAGAGATGTGGACAACTGCAGTCTTCTTGACATTTTGGTTAAATATGAACAACCTTGGGGGATGTGTTGACACTTACTAAGCCTTCAGGTGTTTGACGTTTACTGTCTGTTGAACCCACAAGATGATCGACTTATAGGAGATGAATGGCGAATAGGTAAAAGGAATAATCCAGTGGAGAAAATTATGTCCGAGGTGGGTAGGATGTAGGTTGTGCTTACACTTACTAACCTCTGCGTGAAGTGTTAATGCAATTGGATTCAACTACAAATAGTTGTGTAATTTGTAAGGTGTTGGAATCAGCAGTGGTTGAAAGATTAAAAGCTGTTCAGCATTTTTTTTTTTTTTTTTTTGCAATAGACTAAAAGCCGAAACTAGGTTGTTTTGAAGGTCTAATCCTTTGGTAGTTTCATAAATACAGAAATACTCAACTACATGTGATTTTGTCGGATTTCCCCACCTGTTTTAAACATTTGACTTGTCCAATCGATAAGTATTGTGACTAAGTAACAATAAAATTGGTTCTGAGAATGTTTGTTTGGGTAGTGATGTATAGACTCTAGTGGAACTGGTGCAGCCAGTTGTATTAGAGGTTGTGTAAACTTGTTGTCTAAAGTACTCACTGTCGCTGTTAATGTTTGATGTGAGGAATTGACTTGGTAGGAGATGGTTTCTATTTAGTGGACTTTCATTAGATTGTTGGTTTGGCTGGAAAGGCTTGGAGAAGGTATTGTCCTCCACGCCACTGAACGAGTGTGTGAGTGAGTTTGGTGTGTGCTTCTATCTTGTGAAATATAAAGTGATGTTGGAGGACTGGATTTCACGACTCCTGTTTCAAGGATGTGGAGTGAAGTGGCAAAACGTGTTGCTCGTTAGGTTTTGGTGAATTCTGTGGACTTGTCTGTAGACCTTTGGTTTATGCTTATTGTCGATGTCATTGACTATTTCAGATGAAGTATGTAGCAGCTCTCTGTGAATGAGCCAGTAGACATCCTTTTGAATTGGTTGATATTCGTGTTTGTTGGTTGAGTATTGTTTCGTTGCTCTTACTTGTCATTCCTCCACCTCGAATGAATGAATAAACCATATGTGCATATCTGCAATGGAAGCCATTATGTCCGGAGCAGGAATTTCAGTACATTTGGCATACTTTCTTCTCCTGTCAAATTTAGTCTCTTGCTACAGAACTTATCTGTGCCAACCTCTAGTCTAAGGATAGAGACTTGAAATAATTGATCGTGTTGACCATTTCACTTATTTGTAAAGTTGCATCAGCCGTGATTGACTGATTAACTTCTTGAGGAAGTCTCATCATGGATACAGTACTTCACAGCAGTTCGCTGTATCCTTCTTAATAACTTTGAGGCATAGCCATTGAAAGTTAAAGTGGACGTTTTACGCATAAGAATGGGACATGGACAGTGTGCTAATTGTACGACAGATTATCATGTCTGCTTTAAGTTACACGACAGATGTCTTTGATCATAGGTGCTTGCGTGTGGCGACTTGAACTGCCGCACATTTGTGCAAAGTTCTATGTCGATGACAGACAGACACGACAGATGGTGTTGCCTATTGACGACTTTGTGTGTAAAGTTTATGGTTCATAGTCACGTGTTGAGGTGTGAACTTAATATGGTCTTGAAATATTTTCGTTGTGAGTCACTCACTACTGCATGATATCCGTGCAAACGTCCTCATAGTTGTATTGTTTTGCCGCTTTCAGATGATCCAGTTACATCATGTCGCCAGGTGACTTCAGATGACAATAGTCATCCACTCTTGATCAAACCGGAACCTTTTGATTCATTGGAAGCCAACGCACAGTATAATATCGACTCGTGTCACAACAGTACTCGAACAACTAGTTTTACAGCTACTCATGACGGTGGCCATGTGAACAACTTTGTAAACCAAGTGTCAGTCATTCGTGAGAACACTTTCCTAGTTGACACTGTCTCCAGCTGTCAGTCGACCAACAATTCAGATGGTTTGCAGTCATCATTCACTTCCACTGTGACTGGCACAAGTACGTCTTCCGATTCAATCAGTTCAGTACATGATAAGATTTCAAGCCACCCTTGTTCTTCCGCGGCTCAAGTGGCTAGTTCCAGCGTTACTTCGGTAACACCGCTTACTGCTTCATCAAGCAGAGAAAATGTCTTTTCGGGATCTATATCATCTGGGAATGATGTGAATAATTTGTTTTCTCTTCCTCTTCGATTGTCACCTGGTTTTGTTGGTGATTCGAAAATTGAAACTCCTGTGATACGTGAATATATCAACCAGAAGTGTAACAGACTACGATATCCTCTTCAGTTGGCTTGGGAAATGTCGAAATTGTATTCACCATCGAAGTTGCCTGTGATATCGACAGACAAGTCTTCTATTTCGTGTGGTCAGTATAAAAGTTCATTCTGCAACACTCAACAACGGGACCGTGGGTACTTGGAAATAGATGATAGTCATTTCATCAATGTTAATTCTTCCAGTTTACCTGCCAAAACCAGTACTGTAATGGTGCATAACACAAGTCAACCTCGTACGAAAGCTCAAATGCGTGAAGTAAGCACGATAAACGAGACAATGGAGACAAATCAGAGAAGATTACATCGGAAAATTGTAACAATGAGTGTAGACAATCAGAAGACTGCTTATCGCACATTGGAAATACGGAGGTATCACCTTTTCGGGTGGTAGTCGTGTCTGTAAGTTAGAAGTTGTATGTATTTTTTATTCGCCTTCGTCATAGCTTACATTCTGCTGATTGATGCTTGTGATATGATAGTATAGGTTTAGCGTTGGTTAAAAGCGTGAATCTGGTGAATAGGCTGCATTTCATGCTACTCACTCTTCCATTTTGTTAAATTTGTTTGAATGAAGTTCTCCATCGAAACTAAATTACTGACTTTCAGTAAAATCTCTGTCAAGGCTTATCCTTTGTGTCTGCCATGAAGTAGTAAATGAGGTTGTGTATATAAAAATGAAACTGTTGGCAATTTCAGATTTACAGGTAGTTTGCACTTACATATGTATGGAGGTCTCCACCATTTGGGGGAGGTGGGTATCAGGTTTTGTTTTATTTCTGTTTCTAGAAGACATTTGATTAACCTTGTGAACCTTGTTTCTTTTCAGGATGACGAGGGGATATGCGAATCCTGTAGGTAACTGAATATTTTTACGAATTGTGTGTAACCGATTTGATTTTATTATACGTGTGTAAATTGCTTACACTAGGCTGAAGATAACAGTGATAGAGCTTTCATCCTGGTAGTGTTACGATAATTTGAATGAAACGTGAGGCTTGTTGTTTGGTCATTAAAATGTTGTTGTGGAAAACAGACAGCTGTTGAGTAGTTCACAATATTCAACTAGCTAGACTGTTTTTTCCCATCCAACTTCCATTGCATGTCGATTTTATTATTATTTTTTTTTATTTCTGCTATTTTATGAAGTGTTGGGTTGCAGGGATTCGATTGGACACAAGATTAATGAAGAGCTGACCTCAAAAAAATAAGTAAATATACTTATCAAGCGCATTTATGGCACCTTCATCTCTTCAGATTAGTCTCGGGAAGAGAGGAGAGGAGAAGTCGGTGCAGGCTCCCGCTTGATTATGATTCTCGACCTTCGTTCTCTCTCCAGTGTTAGGTGGCATAATAGTGTGTGTAATTATCTAGGTTAGGCGTCGAGTACTAGGGAAGGAGTGGAAGTCAATCGACGAGGTTGTGAAGTCACACTGGTTGATATGGTTAGAAAATTTGTTGCGCATGCATAGCCATCGCCTTCTTCGACGGGGGATGTTAGCCGACATAGGATGGATCAGGTTGGAAAAGAGCTAGTGATGAACAAACCAAAACATGGCTTCATCAGTCACTAAAATCCACAACAGTTAGTTCAAGCCACTTAGGGAGGTGTAGACTTCCTGACTGGTTGGGGTCCTCGGGATGGTGAAACCTAGTGGCTGAAGACAATCGGTGATACAGCTCAAAAGCCTTCTCATTAGTTGGCGGAGATGCATTCACTCTTTGTCACTTATCGTATTCAGTAAAACTCTATTGTTCTTCCATATTTCTACACTTTTTGCCTCACAATTCTGTTTATCATCTCTCTTTAGAATCTCTCCTTACTCTCTTCTTTTGCTTTGTGTGCTGCATCGAGGAAGAGTGACAACTCGAACTGATGCAAATCTGTGCAAAGTCCTACGTTGAGACCAGTCATTCAGTGAGATTATCGGATTTAAGTGATAAGGTGTGGAGTCGATGACTGGAATCCTCTCGAATCCCGCCTAGGTAGTTGTGATCCACCAGGGGCTGCTAATGCAATGCAACTATCTTTCATCTTATAGGATCACATTGTAAACTGAGTCGGCCTTCATTTTTTCCACCCTGTCATAGTGATAACTAGGAAACAGTAAAAGGGAATTGGATCCTCTAGGTTGACATTCGTGTAGCACGTGTCCAAGCCATCGAAGCTGATGCGCTAAGATAACAACACTTATTGAAAGACTATCTCAACTATGAACAAACACGTCGCTGTACCTTAGAATTAATCACATGATGATAACACTGGATCCAGGGATTTCTACTCAGGTGGCGATGTTCATTAACACATGGTCTTCATATATGCCTAGCTCAAAGGTGTTATGTTTCACGGACGTTAGGCAAGACTTACACTTACCGAAGAATTGTACTGCTGACCTTTCAAAGTCAGAGTATTGTTGAGACGGCGCCAGAACTGGCACGGTTTGTCATATGCCGCTTTCACTGTTTGGTTATGGGCCTGATCTGTGACAACTCTACCAGGACTCACACATTCACCTAGATATACGAATTTGTTGTCTGTCTGTCTGTTTTCGACATAGAACATTGCACAAATGTGCGGAAGTTCAAGTCCCCACACTCCGTGTAGCACGCGAAGCAAGAGAAGAAAGTACAAGAAAAGCACAATAGAGACAGTAAGCAGAGGTGTGAGACAAAGGAGTAATAACGAAGAACAAAACAGTTTCATTGGAGATCATAAATCACAAGGAGTGGATGCATCTGCGCTGTCACTGAGAACGATTTTGAGCCATGTCACCAATTGTTTCCAACCATTTGTTTTTACCGTCCCGAGGACCCCAGTCTGGAAGTCTACACCTTCCTACGTGGCTTAGACCAACTGTTGTGGATTTCATTGACTGGTGCCAAGTTTTTGTTTGACCACCGCTAGCTTTTTTCTAGCCTGACACTATATCCGCTAACATTGCTCGTCGAGGGAGGCGATGACGAATTTGTTGACTACCTCTAACACACCACTTGTGAGAGTGAGTGGAGGTACAAGCTCTTGCTAATCTGGCAACAATAATGTATACTTAAATGGCTTAGAGCACATACCATACTGTCTCCATACTTCAGGTCAGGAAGTCTTTCAAAAGCAACAGAGCCGCATCACTGTCACAAACATACACACTTCAGATCTGTCTTCAGAATTTTATCCTTGATTGGAACCCATCAGTGCATAGGCAGCAATGACAAATAAACAGCTCTTTTCTGGTCGATTGTTTGTTACTCCGGTATAATCTTCTAGACTATCAGTATATCAACGACCACTAATGTGGTTGAAGTCGAGTAATGCAACTTCGGTTGTAGGTTTTAATGCTCATCGACACCAACTAGACGGGATATCGATGTCATTGAGTAGCATACGTTTTACATGACGGAAATATTTGAAGCTTTTCCTCATTGTGATGTTGTGTTCGGGTCAGTGAGATGCAACAAGGCTTTCCAGGGTTCTGACTAGACCTGTTTGGTTTGCATCAGTGTGAGGATGTTGTGGTTGGCGAGCTTGAATGCGACACGTGGTTTTAGAATAGTTGTGTTCGAAAGCACACTTGTGGCCAGCTTTTTGAAGACAACCAATGAAGAATCGGGGTTTTCCAGCTACTCTAGGTGAACCCCATAGTACACCAGTCCGGTGATAAGCTGTCAATATTCCTATTGGCTCTTTATTTTTTAGAATACTACGTGGCGAATATAGGTGGATTAAGACAGAGGCTATGAACGTGTTACCATATGATAGTGTTTCGAAAACAAGGAATCTAAACACCCTCGTTTATACCATATCACTAATTACTAATCAGCAGATGGAAATGTTTTACTACATCACATTGCATCAATGCGTTTCTGTTATCTAAATAAACAGAAAAGTTTGGAGAGAAGTGCAGTGTTGCACTTCACAACAGCATCAGTCACTAATAAAAGAAAAAATTTAAGTTATTGTTATAAGTATAAAACTTGGGCATTATGGTAGAGAATAACTCCAGTATGGATAAGATTTTATTTTGATAAATCACACAGTGTGTTATACAGTAATATTAACTGATGCGACCACGTTTCGAGCACAACCTATTGCCACTCATAATCATATCAAGACACTCACTCACACAACTGTGTTTCTTCACTTACATACATGTGTGGATTCGATTAGATAATGGATTAAAAAACCCATATGAGACTATGTACACTCAGAAATAATAATACGAGTATTATTGTCCAATTACAATTAGATGGGAAATAAGACGAGTGTTTTTACAGTCATAATAAGTTACTTGTTAAAATGTTGTGATGTATTTGAATTGAAATAGAATTTTAAGATTATTTATTATCCTCTTCTGATTCGACTGACCGGCGGTAATAATATCTTCCATATTTCTGGCATTTGCACTGAGTCATTTCTGTTGCATGTGTTGTGTTGTGTTGGGTGTAGACTCGATGGACAAGGATTCCGTAATCAACCTCTCTCTCCACCTACCTATATTACTTTTCGGAATTTAACCCTATCCCACCATGCTATTGTGTGGTTGTTTGTTATTGCGTAAAGTGCAATAGCTGAGCTGTTTTTCTAAATTACTTATCTTCTCGGGGTCAACCATTCTTACCTTAGCTAAATTCTTATCTTCTGATAATCTGACTACCCCTGACCTACTAGTTTGAGGGATCTAAGGGAACTAAGCTCTAGTGAGACAAAAGTACTTGAGAAAGGACTAAATTACAGTGTAACAGTGAGTAAATTAAAACCAGAAGATGTTATTCCTAACATAGAAATATCGCTAGCTTCAATAGATAAGACAACAGCAGAAGAGGTTCGAACACAATGTGCATTAACCCTTGAAAATCAAAAGAAGGCAAAAATAAACTTAACAAAATCGGAAAGAGAAGCTTTAATTAGTCTTAAACAGGATAAAAAAAATATTGTCATCGCAAAAGCTTACAAAGGAAACGTCACTGTAGTTTTGAATAAATCTGACTATATCAAAAAAGTTATTGAACGTATTCAAACGGGTCCATATGAAGAAATTAAGAAGCCTGTAGACACAATAATGAATAAGGTCAAGAAATCTACAGCGGAACTAATGCGCAGAATGAAGTCGTCACTGGGTGAGTCAAAATGGTTTAATTTAATGCCTAAAACTAATAATACTAGTAGAATATATGGTACTATTAAAATACATAAGCCAGGTTACCCCAAACGATCAATAGTAGATTTTAGAAATACCCCAACTTATGAATTATCAAAACACTCAGCTCTAATACTATGCCCCATTAGAAATCGTTCAAACTCTAGATTAACTAACTCATATGAAATGAAAAATAAACTAAATGACATTCAACTAGAGACTGATGAAACAATGGTTAGTTTTGATATAACTAGTCTTTATACAAATATACCAGTCAATATGGCCTTAGAAGCAGTTAAAAAAGAACTAACTACGGATCCTGAACTCAATCATAGGATAAAGCTGCCCATTAAAGGAATTATTTTAGGGATTCAGTTATGCCTCACATTTACTATCTTTAAATTCCAAGGCAAAATATATAGACAAACAGAAGGTGTAGCAATGGCATGGATCACCAATATCCCCCATCGTAGCAGACATATTTATGGGCAGCTGGGAAAATAGCGCGCTTAATACATTCAATCCTACTCCAAAAATATGGTGGAGATATGTGGACGACACTTTCACTCACAGTGTTAAAAACAGAACATATCTCTAGCTTCTTGACACACATAAACTCACTAGTGGGGGGAATAAAATTCACATTTGAAGCAGAAAATGAACAAGGAGAATTAGCTATGTTAGATTGTATGATAAAACGAATAGAAGAAGGTGAACTGCACACTAGTGTTTATGAAAACCCAACTCATTCTAATAGATATCTAAACTTTAATTCATCTCATCCGTTAACTGTTAAGACAAGCTTATTTAAGTGCATAAAAAACCGAGCAGCTGCACTAATTTGTACAAAAAAAAACCTAAATGGTGAGGTGAAACAGATAGAATGAGCGTTATTAACAAATAACTATCGTATAAAACTCATTAGAAGATCAGTAAAGGCCAAAAGCGAAATAAAAATAATTGTGAAACTATTAATGAAAACATAAATAAGAGTGAATATAAGGCATCTACAGTTATACCATATAAAGAGGGGACATCGGAGACCCTACATAGGATTCTAAATAAAGCAGGAATTAGGGTGGCATTCAAACCTAAAAACTCACTCAGGGACAAGCACTGTAAGTTAAACGACACTGTCGGTTGACCCAATTAGACAAAATAATATAATTTACAAAATACCCTCCAATGACTGTGAGTTAAGTCAACTACATAGGTCAAACGTGTGGGTCAGGGGTAGTCAGATTATCAGAAGATAAGAATTTAGCTAAGGTAAGAATGGTTGACCCCGAGAAGATAAGTAATTTAGAAAAACAGCTCAGCTATTGCACTTTACGCAATAACAAACAACCACACAATAGCATGGTGGGATAGGGTTAAAATTCCGAAAAGTAATATAGGTAGGTGGAGAGAGAGGTTGATTACGGAATCCTTGTCCATCGAGTCTACACCCAACACAACACAACACATGCAACAGAAATGACTCAGTGCAAATGCCAGAAATATGGAAGATATTATTACCGCCGGTCAGCCGAATCAGAAGAGGATAATAAATAATCTTAAAATTCTATTTCAATTCAAATACATCACAACATTTTAACAAGTAACTTATTATGACTGTAAAAACACTCGTATTATTTGTGGTCTTTACAGTAAAGGCCAGTTATTCGGCGAATACATTTTTAACATAGAATAACAGATTAGTGATGGGGTGTCAAAATAAATACTCATATTTTTTTATAACATTTAGTTAGTCATATTGTGTGACAAATGTGCTAGCCTGAAATCGATTAGAAAATATTGTAAAACGGTAGACACTGGTGGTGATTAATGATTATTGATTTTTAGAATGTGGGGTAGGAAAATTGACAAGTCAGTTCAAGGTTATTGAAGGGGTCAGGTGAGTGGCTAGTACAAAGTGCTCTGAGTTAAACAGGAGATAGTAAGACTGCAATGAGAGGTTCATAATGAGATAACGAATATGTTAAATGGAACAGTTGGAGGCACATATTAAGAAAACAGATAATATCACTAATAATAAGTCCGTATAAATGAAAAATTCGATAGTATTGAGGGAATGTTTGCATAAAGGGCATAAATTATGACGAATAATAATAATAACTGTAATAATAATATTTATAATAATGAGCAAAGTAAAAAAAAGAAAAAAAATCGAGAGGGTTCAGGGGAAGGAGCACTCCTGGTGAGAAGAAAAATCTTCAATCCAAGGTTGGCCACGGTAAGAACAGCGTCTGGACGTGTTCTTTGTGGATACAAAGTTCCGGTTTAGTCTGTCTTATCGCAACAGCTTCAGCTATGTGTAGGAGACGTAAGCGAACTGTACGTGATAACGACTTCGGGATTCGGTATATAGCCCTGTAAGCTGTGTTGACATCGATGCGATGTCCAGCATCGACCAAGTGTGACAGGATCTAGCTTTTTATGCACTTAATTTCCTCCCTGCTGAACCAAGCTGGTAAGTGTTCTCGAACCCGTAGACGAACCTGCTTAATCGTGCGCACCATTGTCCCCCGTTTTACAATATTTTCTAATCGATTTCAGCCTAGCACGTTTGTCACACAAATATGACTACTTATTTTGACACCCCATAACTAATCTGTTATTCTATGTTAAAAATGTATCCGCCACATAACTGGCCTTCATTGTAACGACCACAAATATTATATTTTATAACTGTAAGAACCTGAAGAGAAACTCGTATTATTATTTCTGAATGTACATTATCTCGTATTGGTTTTTTAATCCATTATCTAATCGATTCCACACATGTATGTAAGTGAAGAAACACAGTTGTGTGAGTGAGTGTCTTGATATGATTATGAGTGGCAATAGGTTGTGCTCGAAACGTGGTCGCATCAGTTAATATTACTGTATAACACACTGTGTGATTTATCAAAGCAAAATATAAGTGTTGGTTTGTAGGGATTTGTTTGGTTACAGAATTTCATCATGAGCTGACATTGGTTGGAGAACCACTGAAAAACCTGGGAGTACTGGACAGCTGTTTCGCCCCAGTTTGAAGCTCTTCAGCGGTACGCGTCCACACGTGGGGTTTGGGCTCAGAACCTTCCGGTTGCAGGACTAGCCAGCTCGTCGACCATTCAGCCACTGGGACTCGATGAAATGGGCCATGAACTCTAACTTCTACCAATTCATGACATTGGGCAACCCCAGCGAATGTCTTTAGCAAGTATTTGACCTCACACCCGACCTGCTGAACCCTACTGGTCACGACAAAATTACTGGAAAATAATCTAGCGTAGATTAATAAGATGTTGAAACTGTTCAATATCACAACGAGTAAATACCATGCATTGTCCAGACAGTCCCTCATCACTAGTTTCCAACGTGTTGATTGTTCAAGCGAAGTTATCTACATAGTTTGAACCTATATCTCGAGACTACTCCATGGTGTGTTCTGTATTTTCTAATTCAACCACCTTTAAATTCTCTGAAGTCTAACACTACTCCAGGTAACATTTATGGGTAGATAGTTATGAGCAAAAGATTTCAACCACCTCAGTTATCCTCGGCCTAAAGTTCCATCAGTGCTTCCCGTATGTACATAGAATGTTTCGGATAAACACTTCTAATGTGATGTGTCTCTCTGTAACCAGAATACACTTCGAAGAACCTTATTGACCCAAGTGTTTTGTCACTCTCATTCTTTATGTTTAATCAGGTATTTCTCGTAGTTATCTGTCTCCTACTTTGACAAACTTTTCCTCTTGCTAAACTCTTTTGTGTACGGAACTTTGAGATTATTGTTGTGATCTGACAATAATGTTCTGTGAGCGTTCAAATGTGGTGGATTCACCTTAACCTGTAAAGATTTTATTGGATTTTTGCTGCTATCCACCTCCGAATTGGATGATTTTGTACCCAAAAATATAAGACTGTACGAAAATTTGATTAGTGTCTTCTTGAACAGGAGGATTTGAAAATTAAGAATTTCCAGGAGGTTTTTTACGTTACACTGTATTAACGCAGAAACATCCTAACCCTGTTCAATAGTGATGATGACATTTTACTCTGAGATGCTGTGTCATTACTGTAACTGTTGGTGTGTCTCTTCTGGCTTTACAGTATCGTATTTTGTAATGATTTATCAGAGTGAGCTTAAATACTCTTTCGAGTGTGTTCACCTAATCTAGTTTATTGTAAATTTCATGTGAAAAATCGAGCTGTCTGCTGAGTTATTTATAATTATGAAAGTCTTAATTCTTTGTAAATTGTGATTGAATTGTTTCAGCTGAAGCACGCCGTGAAAGTTCGTCTGCAGTGAGAAGAAATAAACGTGGTAGGCCTTCTCGACGTCTCCAGAGTAGTTGTGGAAAGCGAAGAAGACTATCGTCATCTAGAGCATCCAGGTTACAGCCTACGACTGCATCTGTGAGTAAATATTTATTAGTTCTTTTAAGATTTGATATACAGTATGCTAAGCGTAAATGAGGACTGAGCTTGTTTCTGTTGTCGAGCAATCTGACTTCTTCTGATCTACTATTTTGAATCACATATATGCGTATCCCAGCTGACAATGATCACATGTTATTCTACTAATCTGTTGAAAATTATACTCGAGTCTTTTGAAGTACTCTACCTCATATGGAAATATTATAGATGTTTTAAATTCCTTTTGTTGCCATTACTGTGTGGACTTTTCGTAGCCCAGCTGTTTCTGAACCCTATCCAAGTGAGAAATCTAGAGTTTGGCTGTGCTACAGCATTACTATGTGATCATACAGAATCACAAAGTGATGGCTATAAATGCCTGTTTAGAAGAGAGGAAGGAGCTTTTAATGATATCGCTTGTTTTATTTATCGAATCAACTGATGGAGAATACGCTGAAAGTGACTTCGTAAAATTCTCTATTTGGACATGTGAAAAGTCTCACCGCTAGTGTGGTGGTACAGGGGAGACCCTGAATTCCAAGAATAGGTCCAAAGCAGGTATAGTTCCATTTGTAATATTACTGTGAACGGTATATATTTTGTGTTTAAGAGGTTATGCGCTGAAATGACGCTGTTTCATGATGCAATGTATATTGACTGTCGAAGACAAGAGACTTGGTAAGGGAATGTTTATTAGGAATTTGGTGTGTTTATATAGTGAAATTATGTACATCTTATCTGCAAACGGTGATTCGCACAGATCTTTGTTGTGATACGTCTGCCCCACTTCGTATTGTGCTTTTTGTCTTCTTTTCGTGTCTCGCATGTTTTGTCGCGACACTGATGTCAACTCTCTCTCTCTCTCTCCACTATTCGATATTTTTAAGTCGGTGAACGCCTCTCGAATATACAACTGGTAAATCTCATCAGCAGGACACGCCACATTCTTAAGTCCCATCCAACCACAGAACGTGAATGCAGACTTCCTCAACGACTTTGTATTCAGTCTGTTAACTAAGAGGTATTTTACACTTTCCGCTAACTTCATGATCAGGTTCTACGGTTATATATCCAAGATAATGAGAGAATGATTGTTATTGGCAGATGAGTGTTTTTTTAAGGGTGACAAGGAATCATTAAATTCAGAATCGTAAACGTTATGTGCAAATAGATTGTCATGAAAGATCATAGTGCAATATATGTGTATGTGGTAATGGGTATAATTGTAAGACTGAAGGCAACACCAATATCACGAAGTAAATGATTATGAATGACAAGGAAAATACACATATATGTATGTTAGTGAGTTGTCATGAGTCATGTTCATATTAAATTCTACTCACATTAATTATAAACTTGAGATGGGAGAATGATCATTGTTGGGGACGGTGGAGGTGTGGGTGAGATAAGAAATTTGTGGTAGAAGGTTATGTGCGTTGTGTGTGTTGGTGTGTGCCAGTGTGTTAGTTAACCACTACGTTTAAATAAGAAATCAATAGGTTATTTAATGCATGTACAATAACGAGCGGTAGGGGAATTTAAATGTACAGGATGGAGGGCTATATCAAAACAGGTCTATGCAATAAGATATTTGGGAATTCTCAGAGTCCACAGCAGATCAGGGCAGTGGCAGTGGTTAGACCTGTTTCTTCTTCCGACAGAGCACCTGTTGTTTTAGGCGTATTGCAGTCGCCTCTGTTATTTCGAGTATTCGGTACGTGGATGGTTTCGGAGATTTATTTGGTACCTGATAGGTGATAGAGAAAGATTCTTCAATGCTAGCCGGCGTTGTGGCCAGTGTGGACCAGGTGGTCTAATATCGAACTGTTGATGGTTTTCGCTACACTTTTATCCAGCCACGCTGGTAGGTGTTTGCGAGCATGAGAAATCAAGTTCCTAATCCTACGGCCAATATAACTCGCTGCACTAGCACGGCAGTTGAATTGGTAGATACAAGAAGAGGTACCTAGCTAGTAGCTAGTCAAGGTACTTCATCTTTCAATTGAGGAATCACAACCAGTCGTGCAGAAAGTATGACTTGTAGTTTACCAGCATCAAAATTCTTTGATGAATGGATTTTCTTAACTTATTAGTAATTATTTCACTAGATGCGTGACACTCTTGAATTGCAGTCGTTTTCATAAAGGCTTCTTATTTACGGATAGAGAATAGTCCTTTTCTCCTTACTTTCTTGGTCATGTGTGTCGGAAGGTTGAATTATCGTGGCCGAAACCCAGTGACCTTGAACAACCAATCAGAATTCCGATGCAAATAGCAGCATAATCGTTGGAAAATACACTAAAAATTATTGCAAAGTCGATATAGCACTGTATAGTTGTAGCTCATGTGTTATGCGAATGTCTCCCAGTCAATACACAGACGATCATCTATAGAGAAATCGTATCGTGCGCGATATATCCATTCATCCAGGTGACTGCAGGTCATGATACTTTGAAATCCATTGATATTTCTAACACTATTCTCCAACCTGCTCCTAACTTTAACCCTAAACGTAACCTTAACCGCAGATTGTGAACATTAATCTTAAACTTTTCAATAGTTGGTTTGTAATGAAACTTATATACCATTGACTATTAATACATTTCTATATCACACTTTATCTTATATCGTGAATGAGTGCGCATTTTAATGTATGTTCATGTGAGAATATTAAATACTGTATGTGTAAAACTTGGGCACTGCGGTGGTAAGTAATTCCATATTAGTTTGTTTATTAGATGTATCACACAGTGAAACAGTATTAGTATTTACTGGATGACACAGTTTCGAACAAAATTTATTGCGGTTCATAATCATATCAATTATAACCACACGACTTCAAAAATTGAGTTTTATAGTCTTCTTTGTTCTCTCCTATTTGTCATCGTTGGGGTAGTAGAACTTTCCAGATATCTGGGACAGGTGTTGAATCCCTCCTGTTACACGTGTTTGCAGTTGATTCGATCAACAAAGCTTCCGTTGTTATCAATCTCTCCCTCCACCCTGTTACATTAGATTTAAAAACGGTCATCTTATCCCATCCAGCCTATAGTATGGTTGTGTGTAATTGCATGTAGTGCTATGGCTGAACTATTCTCTAGATTTCTTATCTTATTCGGGTCAACTATTCTAGATTCCGTTAGGTTGTCAGGCTTCGCTAGTCTGACTGAACCTGTTTTACTACTCTAACCTGACAAATATTGCAGGGAATTAGATAAACTAAATTTTTTTCACAGGTTCCACAGGGTCCTTCCACCCACAAAACTTGTTTCTGATTGAGTTTATGGGTTTGAATGCCAGCCACTTATATTGCTGCACTGTTAAGAATTCTGCGAAACGTGATTTCCGAAGTTCTTTCTTTGTATGGAAGTACCGCTGATGATTTATATTTCCTATTGTTGGTGTTGTTACTAGCCTGCGCATGTTTGACATGCACGTCGTCATTAATATTATTATTATTACCACTATCACTACTGTCATTATTTATTTTATTTTTACATTTATATAAGAATAAAACTTGTGCGCTGTGGTAGAGTGTTTGTTATTCCAGTATAAATAAATTTTGTTTTGATAAAGTCTCACAGTGTTATGCAGTGATGTTTACTGATGACCACGTTTCGAGCACAATTTATTGCCACTCATAATCATATGAAGGCACTACTCACACAACTTCCTAACTTCATTTATATAGTTCCATTATTTTTCGCTTGATTTGTTTGGTAGTAGTATTTTCCATATTTCGGGTATGAGCGATGAGTCATTGTTATAACTGCACTGAATTAAGGTAAAACCCCGTCGCCAATTTGTTATAGCTGTGGGGAATTAAATGATAGACGTTTTCACCTTATTCTGTCTGCGCCTGAACTAATCTGTCTATCTGCTCGTCGTACCTTCCGACTTGGTAAAGCACGCAAATATCAAAAGACAAAGGCTGGACTGTGACTGTGTATTGAAGTGCAACAACGATAAAGAAAGCCATGGTATTTATACATTTTACAACAATATGGACAGCTGACAGCATTTGAAATAATTTATCTTAATAGCCAATAACAAAGTGTGTGAGAAATGATAATATGCCATATGTGCGACATTGACAGTCAGTAACAAAATGTGTGGGAATGATAATATACCATATATACAAAATTAGCAGTCACTACCAAAATGTGTGAGAATGATAATATACCATATATACAAAATTAGCAGTCACTACCAAAATGCGTGAGAATGATAATATACAAAATTAGCAGTCAATACCAAAATATGTGGGATCCTATCACCTCCCCCCGTAAAGAGTGTAGGACTTGCTTTTTGGATCTATTTGAAAAGGTTTCGGAGCTCTTCTTTGTCGAGTTGACCTTTGCGTGGTACTGGATAAAGCGTGATCACATAACTGTCCTTTTTCATTCGTACGATAATGCAGCAAAAATTTATCCAAAATTTTTTCTGTTGTTCCCTCCCCCTTCGCTTTTGCTTAAGCACGCCTAAAGGTGTCGACGAAACGTTCAGTAATAGTTGACGGAGGTGGGACACTGTTGCAATTGATGTGGCAGAATGCATAGGAAATATCTCTGGCCATTTGGAAAACGCGTCGACACATATTAAGAAATGCATACTTTTGAACGGTCCAGCGAAGTCAACATGAACACGGGACCATGGTTTGTCCGGTCGTGGCCAGGAACATAGTTCTGTCTTGCGTGGACACTTTGATGCTTGAGCACATTTACTACACTTGCGAACGAGGTCTTCGATATGGTCATCGATGTTGGGCCAGTAAACATAACTGCGAGCGATCGCCTTCATTCTCCCAACACCAGGATGTGATATATGAAGCTGCCGAAGCACATGGTCACGAAGATTAGCTGGAACCACAACACGATCAGCAAACATTATGCATCCATTAACGATGGATAGGGATTGGCGTCGCTGGTAAAACTGTTTTAAAACATTTGAATGAACATGTGTAGGCCAGCCAAATCGGATGAACTTTGATACTTGCTGTAAAACTGGATCACGCAGTGTATGTCTGGCAACCTCAACTGCAGTCACCGGAAGATCGTCCAGAGAGATAGACATTATAATTGGGTTGTAATTTACACAGTCAAAAATGTTATATAGTTGCGCTGAACAGAATAAAAACTGTCGTCGTTTGCTTGTTATAACTGCGATGAATTAAGGTAAAACCCCGTCGCCAATTTGTTATAACTGTACTGAATTAAGATAAAACCCCGTCGCCAATTTGTTATAACTGCACTGAATTAAGGTAAAACCCCGTCGCCAATTTGTTATAGCTGTGGGGAATTGAATGATAGACGTTTTCACCTTATTCTGTCTGCGCCTGAACTAATCTGTCTATCTGCTCGTCGTACATTCCGACTTGGTAAAGCACGCAAATATCAAAAGACAAAGGCTGGACTGTGACTGTGTATTGAAGTGCAACAACGATAAAGAAAGCCATGGTATTTATACATTTTACAACAATATGGACAGCTGACAGCATTTGAAATAATTTATCTTAATAGCCAATAACAAAGTGTGTGAGAAATGATAATATGCCATATGTGCGACATTGACAGTCAGTAACAAAATGTGTGGGAATGATAATATACCATATATACAAAATTAGCAGTCACTACCAAAATGTGTGAGAATGATAACATACCATATATGCAAGTTTAAACAGTCAATACCAAAATATGTGGGATCCTATCAGTCATTCCTATTGCATGTGTTCGGTGTAGACTCGATGAACAAGGATTCAGTAATCAACCTCTCTCTCCACCTACCTATATTACTTTTCGGAATTTTAACCCTATCCCACCATGCTATTGTGTGGTTGTTTGTTATTGCGTAAAGTGCAATAGCTGAGCTGTTTTTCTAAATTACTTATCTTCTCGGGTCAACCATTCTTACCTTAGCTAAATTCTTATCTTCTGATAATCTGACTACCCCTGACCTACACGTTTGACCTATGTAGTTGACTTAACTCACAGTCATTGGAGGGTATTTTGTAAATTATATTATTTTGTCTAATTGGGTCAACCGACAGTGTCGTTTAACTTACAGTGCTTGTCCCTGAGTGAGTTTTTAGGTTCAAATGCCACTCTAATTCCTGCTTTATTTAGAATCCTACGTACCCTCTTTATATGGTAAAACTGTAGATGACTTTGAATAACTATCCTATAAAATTCATTAGGAAGATCATTAAGGGCGAAAAACAAAATAAAAATAATTGTGAAACTAGTAATAATAACATAAATAAGAGAGAATATAAGTCATCCAGATTCGTTGACCCGAATAAAATAAGAAATCTGGAGAATAGTTCAGCCATAGTGTGGTGAGAGCAGGCTGCTAGCCGATTGGTTGGCACTAATCTACGTTAAGGTCTAGGTCACTAATATGGGCCGTGAACAAGGCTGAGTCAACAACCAATCACAGCGAAGTTAACGTGGCAAAATATGATTCGCAGATAGAGAACTCTGTTTGTCAAGGAATCCCGAAACAACCAATCAGAAGCCTGCGTTTGTCTACTTAAACAACCAATCAGATGACTGCGCTTGTCTATAATAATGTTGTCTGAAATATGTATAAATACGTGTTGATTTTCATAATAAAACGATCTGTTGCCTGGCCCTTGTCTTCTGTTGTTACAATAGCACTACATGCAATTACACACAACCATACTATAGGCTGGATGGGATAAGATGACTTTTCTTATGCAAATTTCTTTTTATACTACCATCTGGTTTTCTTGTAAGAAGGACGTCAAAGAAAGCGATTCTATTCTGGGATTCCTCTTCACACGTAAATTTGATGTTTTCGTACTGATAACAATAATCTACTAGACTGAATTTGAAGGATAGTGATTTGATTCGATGCAGTTGTTGATGAAGTCAAGCGTTATACCTCAGATCGTCGTTGAGAACCTTCACTATCCTAAAGTTTATTACAAATCTCTACGTTTAAACAGATTTCATCCTAATAAGAAGACGCCGATACGATATGCATCAAACCAGACTGACTCTTTATCTACGTACATACAAGAGAACGAAATGAATATCGCCCTCAGACAATACGCAGTAGATGAACTACCAGAAGGTCTTAAGACGGCTGAAATAATAAGTAAGAAAAGTCCAATGAACTTTAAATGCTGGTAAACTACAAGTCATATTTTCTACATGACCGTTTGTGACTCCTCAAATGGAAGATGAAGTACCTAGACTACCTACATTAGTCTTGTCATTAACAATCATTTTTTCATTATTCTGGATATTGTAACTGTAGAACCTGATGATTAAGTTAGCGAGGAAAATATTCTGTGTTGAGTAATCGGTATTTTGAAAGTCCTAATGGGCTTCTTTAGTCAGTTTTACACTTTCATAGAACATTTTAAGTGCAGAGTTAAATGTCTACATGAAAATCATTCAAATATTATTGAGTTATTCTCTCTGTTTTTCTTCATCTCTTCTCGGTGTAATAGAAATGCCCACCAATGACGAAAGAACAGTTAACCAGACTTAAATCGATGTCATCGCTTGATCTGGTTGGAAATGAAGAGGCTAAACTTTTAAGAATGCCGTATTGTGTTTGTACGTATGCATCGCAATCTGAGAAGTGAGTCATTACTTATTTTGTAGTTGTTTCCTTCTTACTTTCATGTGACTCTAAAGTGTTTGTTACAATAATTGACTAGTCAGTGTGTTTATAATGGAGTACTTTCTGTCCTGCTTGAACTCATGGATGTCAGTGATTTTGAAAATCTCTGATTCAAACTAGACCACTAATACTCATCTGCTGTGTCGTTCAGGATTAATTTCGGTACTTGTTGCAGCCGATTAAAGCAGTGATGTTGGAATATCTTTTGAGTTGTGAGAGTGAAGGCTGCATATAAAAGATGAGGGCTTTAAGGTCATCCTCTGTTAACTTCTTGAGTCAAAATCTTCATCACTCTGTATTGACTGAACCCTCATGACTTTGTGTGTCACCATTATCTCTGACATTGATATCGTATGTTGAACGATGAGGAATGGTCTACAAGCTGTTGGCTGTGTGACTTGACTGTGTCACCAAAGTGCTTTTCACATGGATTTTGAAGGGGTTTGGGGTTGCAATATTTATCATGTTATATGTCACCCAGCTTATTTAGTAACAGACATACCTTTGAAGCGTTGTGCTGTGCAGTCTTCGTAAAGTCGTTGGCTTGTATCAGAAGTTATATTTGCGTGTGGAGGACAATTGAATTGCATAATGCTATTTACGATTGCATCATCCAGATTGTGCAGGGGTGGGATCAGGTGTGCTGGGGGTGGTGGTGAAGTTGAAGTAATTTCTGTGGTGGTGATGATAAGAGTTTCGATAAATTTCATCTGTTTGTCTACTTATAATTCCACTTACGGTAGAACCGATAGTTTTCTCCGTCGGTAAAATGTCATGTTTTGCTGAATCTACACACCAATGCGGTTAGGCATAATGAACGTTTGGTAAATTTACTAGTAGATTTTCCCTGATGTGAACTGATATTTTGAAGAATACTCACACACTAATTATTGGGAAAAGAGTATTCTCAAACGTGCGAGTAAAAGACGTAGTTTGACTCCTGTGTCGGAGACCAATGATTATTCTGATGTAGTTGTATTTACTGATCTGGATGGTTTATTTGCAAAGCTTTCATTGTCCTACTTCTTTAGCGCATACTTCATTTTGAAGGGAGCTTTTCGACTTCTCCACGAGTATGTTAATCATCTCTCCTGGTGACCTTGCACGTGATTCCCCTTATGGTGGGATCCATAGTTTTCTCCATCGCTAAAATCTACACACGAATTCGGTTAAGCGTAATGAACGTTTAATAAATTTCCTAGTAGATTTTCCTTGATGTGGACTGATATTTTGGAGGAGGTGTTTTGTCAAACGTGCTGGTAAAAGAGGTAGTGTAAATACCGTATGAAAACTAAATATATTCTGCAAACATTCGACTGACTAGTGAACAGCAATCAACCTATATGTTTACAATTGCAATTCTGACTGGCACATTGTCGATCTAGTCTGTAATTACACGCGACAGTATAGGGTTCCTAGAAAATATGTCTGGCTAATGATGCATAGACTCTAGTGGAACTGATGCAGTCAGTTGTATGAGAGCTCGTGTGGACTTGTTGTTTATGAGTAGACAGTGTTGTTTTTCAAGGAACTGAGTAAGTGAGTGGGTGTGAAGTCCTGGATAATGCTAGACGACTGGATATCACTGACTCCTATTTCAAGGATGTGCAGTGAAGTCGCGAAATGTGTTGTCCATTGGGTTAGAAGAATTAGCTGTTGACGAAATCTGTGGGCGAATCTCTTGACCTCCTCTCACACTTGTTGATATTCGTGGTGTTTGACAGTGTGAGATAAAGTATGCAGCAGTGCACTTTAATCTACTTGATGTCAATAAGTTTGTGATCATAGATGACTTGTGACAAGTGGCCATGTTATCTGGAGGAGAGTATCAGGGTAAGTACCACTGGAATTCGGTGTTTAGTGTTATTTGAGTGGGTGGATATTTCTATCTTTATTCATCATATATATGCACACTCACACACACACCCATGCACAGTTCATTTGTTGAGTGTTTTTGATTTTCTCTTTTAGACATGAAATGAAATCTCACTTACTACTTGGCGATGTAATAAAGGTTTTATATTTGTTGCTTACAAATCGTAAACACCAGAATATTGCCTTGCAAGTATTAAGACACTGTTGGATATATTGTCAACGAGTCCCCCTAGCTGATATACGTCTTTTTACATTGAGGGGTTTATCATCACGAGACTCTGCTCATCTGTCTCAGTATCCATTGGTAAATTCAGAGTCACCACCACTGTTTGTTGTCCGGTGGTCTTCTGACAGTCTGTTGAAGGGGACACTAGAAATTGCCTGTAGCTGTCTACCACGTGACCGATGCTGGTACAATTGTTGTTCTGAAAGATTTCTGCAGGCATTATCACGTTTAATATTCAAACCTGATGCGAAAAAGTATCTTTTAAATATATCAAAATACCTTTCATCGAAATGTCGTCAGATTTCAAATGCTTCTTCTTCATCGTCAGCATCATTATATGTGTTGTCGGATGGAAACGATCGTGATGATGATTTTGAGTTAACTGCACCTAATCCTCCGGTGGATGATAATATGCGTGAAAGAAATTTACACGTGGAATTGTGCAAGTGTCTTCCTCAGTCAGTTTCAAGTTTTCTAAGAAGGACGACCGGCGTATCTACGCACCACATTGCGTCTTTCGGATTTCTAATTAGCTCTTTTCATAATACATGCCTACAAGTTCTGAGTGAGGCTAAGACGACTTCAGGTTGTAATTCAAATGCTCAAATAGACAAGAGTGTCTCCTTGAATCTGTTCAGTACTATGGAATGTCTACATCAAGTTATATCTGTTTGTTTGTGCCGATTACATGATTCTTTTGCATCACTTATGTCAGCTGGTTCTTGTTTGAAGGCGAGGCATGAACTCGCAAATGCAGACAGTAATTCTGTTCAATCACGTTCTTCTATGCGGCTGGCTCGTGGACGAGCTCGTCTTTTTGAATCGGAATCATGTGCACGAGATAACGTTATTCGTATATTAACGGAAGAGGTTTGTGTTCCGCTCCGTAATGTGTTAAATTTCCTGGAGAAAATGTATCACACGTTGTGTAGTATAACATCAAGTGGTTTCTTGCTTTGTCCTTTCTTCGGTTGTGATAAGAAGGATACTAGTTTACTGCCTTCGAAACAGTGTGTATTCGATTCTATTGTATATACACGAGGACTTGTTAACTTGGATGCGCCATCAAGAGAGCAGCGGAATATTGAGTTGTTTACGAATATTGCCTTCTTCTTACTCGAGTATCTCACCACCGATGTTTTCGGACATGTTCGTGGTCTGCGTGACAGTGTGTTTTCGTTGAAAGAGGAGTTATCAAAGACTTATTCCTCCATAATGGACACTTGGGTGCCAGCATACAAAGACCAGCTTCCCTCTGTTAGTCCACGTGCTGATATTGATTTGAAGTATCTCTTCTCATCTTTGCAGAGTCAATATGATGCAATTGAAGCTTGGAGTCGACGTCAACATCAGGTAGAATTGAAGCAGATCAGTAGTACTATGATTAGTTTTCTAACACAACTTTATGATTGTTGGAAATGTGGGTTTCTGTGTAGCGATTTAAAGTTGCCATGCCGTATTTTAAATATTCCATATGGTTCAAGAAACAGTTTATCCCAGCCTGTGTTAAATAAGGTCAATGTGAATGGGATATCGCCATGGCCACCTCAACACTTAACTTTTGTTCCACCCGAACACCCAGTGCCAGAAAATTCAGTCAGTGATCTAAGTAAAACTGTTTGTTCGACAAGCAGTGATTCGGTAGAAGATTTTGTCTATTCGAAAGTGACATTTTCACGTGATTCTTTGAGGAAGACGTTGAAATCTGCGGTAATCACAGTGCATACTCCGGAAGTCAGTAGCAGCAGTAGTAGTCAGAGTGAAGGGCGTATCTCACGTGATGATGTCCATGATGGTAATGCAAGACTGCTCAGTGATCGATGTGCTGGAGTGGACTCTTCCGTATCACACTCCAGTAACCCGTGTTCCCCTAATATTATTCCTCAGACAAGATTACTTATTGCTGTTAACCAAACATGTTCAAAGAATGTTACAAGTATGTCACCTAACACCTCCTCATCTTTGGATTCTAATTCTCTTCGAACCACAGAGGTGATAAATTCGTCAGAATCTTCTGTTTCGGTGAGTAAAAGTACTACTGATAATTCAGAATTGAATTCTTTAAAGTTAGTTACTGAGATTGTTGTGAATGATGTGCCATCACTTGAGAGCCTTTCAAATCCCTTATCATCAGGAAACGCTTGTAATAATAGTCCTACTGAAATTGACGTTGCGTGCAAAGAAAAGGCATCTGTTAGAAATTCATATGATTGTGAGAAAGAAGTTAACGGTAGCCAGTGTCCTCCTCAACCGGTTCGGGTGTGCAGTTCTGTGGTGTCAAAAAACAGTGATACGTTAACGGTCGTTACTAATGCAAGTGATTCATGTGGAAGTGCTTTGCAAATGTCAATTGATTCCCGAGGTGAATCATTGGTTCAGAGTGCTTCGGTAAGTCTAAGTGGAACAACGGAATGTGCTCATTCGGAAAACTTCTCATCCGTACCGAATAAACTATCAGACAGTCTTATGCTGGTCTCATCACGTAGTGAATGTAATGAATCTGAAGCGCAGTCTGTCCCATCAAACGCTGATGTGGACACACCATCTCCTTCGTATGTTTCAATCAATAATGTTGAGAATATTTCTTCACAGCCTAACACAGCTGAACCTACGGAAGATATTGATGTCACTTCAGGTAACCCTGTTCCTTCGCCTAATTCTGATGGGATTCCAGGAAGCCCAGGTGCTTCCACAAACAATTGCGATTCACCTTTGCAGGATTCAAGTTACCGAGATGATCATGATGAAGAGTCGACATATTCTCTTGAGAGCAATTCTGATGAGATATCAGAAAGTAGATCCCAGTTATCGTCTGTCAGTACTGTTGTCTCAATAAACCGGGAGAAAGAAAAGTCGATAAAGAAGGTGTGCATTTATTTACCCAGTAATACTGTTACTAACTCTCCGATTAAGAATATTGTCTGTCAATATAGTAGTGGGGAAGAGCACTCCGACTCTGATCAGGTGAACAGTTGCACAATGACTCTTGATAGACGGCGAGTTGGGAAATTGAAACGGAAGCTGAAGAAGTTGAACCACTTACCTGTTTCTGGAACGAATACTTCTGAAATCTCAGAAAGGAACTCCGCCTCACAAATTGAAAGTCTCTTGTGCTCGATTCCGTCAACTAGTAACAGTTGTTCATTGACGGGGTTTCCAGATGGTTCACATAATTTGACTAATTTCCGTGTGAAACAACCGTTAAGTGATCTTGTATCTCTTCCTTCTTGGGTGCAAGAGAAATCTCTGAATTCTAAAGCTCCCGGACCAGTGACGGCTTCGGTATTAGGACTATCTGCGTTCCCACTTTCAACTGTATCAGTTAGCTCGACTTCTGATGAATAAAATCTCATCTTTTCTACAGATTAATGTTATTGTTTAATATCTGATATACAACGTCCTTGACTTGTATAAATGTGTACATAATGCACTTGTGATATCTATCGATTGATAAACGAAGATTTATTTTGTGTACACGATTGTGTTTATTGCTATTCATTACTTATTTATTTTTTTATCTAAAATAAAAATTAATTTTACTTTCCTTGTATTTCATCACGTCTATGAGTGTTATCAGTGTGGTTATTCTCTTAGATTCGGAGTGAACCGCAGGGCTTCATCAGCAGATCTTCACGTTGTCCTGTTCTCTGCAGTCCCCTGTTGACTGTTCTACTTCGTCCGACGATTGTGCTTCCATCTGTTCTTCTCGTAAGCTTAACATCTAGGCAGGATGATTAACCTTCTGATTCTGCTCTAATTTTGAATTCGACTGACTGATGAAGAATTGTAGGTTTTTTATTATATGTTAGTATTTTCAACGGTGAGAATGAAGATATCATCTATATACCACGTGTAAACTTCGATCCATTTGATTGTTGGTAGGGAGGGGATATTTGACTCAAGGTACTCCATGAACCAATCGGTAATCAATGGACCAAGCGGAGAACCCATTGCTAATCCATCTTTCTGATTACATGTTCAACCATTGAATAAGAAGTGAGTATTCAGTGTCCATCTCAGGACTTGTCCTTTAATATGTGTATTGGCTATGCCAACATTCAGATTATTTGAGTCGATAAACGCACTTAGGTAGCGTACAGTTCGCGTTAAGGGGACGTTAGCGAATATCGAAACCACGTCCGACGAAGCCATAGTTGATCCCAGATGCATTCAGTTGACTTACTGATTCTACGAATTCAAACCTATCATCCCTTCACATTACTCCTCTTAATGGTGATGGGTGCTGGTTGTTGCTTGTGGTGGTTAGGTATTTTGATCATGTCTGCGTTCACTTAAATCCCGAGTTCGTGTGACATTAAACATAAGTCGTTAGCGAAGTCCAAATTTTCCAGGGTCATCTTGTCGGTCTTACGTATTATTGTCTCCATCCGCGGTGTGTGGCATGATCTCGTCCGTTACGATTAGTAATATGGGTGATACTAGGTAACTTTATCTTGTCTGTCTCTTGTCCTCACTTCAAAGGCATTGCTGATTTTTCCGTCGTGGATCACGTGATATGCGGCAATAACATGAAGCAGCTGACTACGGCCGATAAAAGTTCTGGATCCTCTGTAATGTTCTAGCAGTTTCCCAATCGTTTTACGGAGGTCTTTACAAAGCTGTTGAATGTGAGATAAAGGTTTGAATACGTTCTATGGTCTCTTCGATGATAATGTGTAGCACTGTGATTTGATCAGCATATTATTTGCCTTTCTAGTTTGTTGCAGGTGGAGTTTTGCATTTGGAGCATTTTTTAGCCTCACCAGGTTGATGCGATATAATATTTCGCTTTTAGTGAATGGGCGCATGAGTTCGCGCCGGTTTTGCCAGGACGAAATTCTCCCTTCTCTGGCAGCTTGATGAGGGAGTCTTTCTTACAGCTAGTAGATACCTTTCCTTCCGTCTAAACCTCTTGCAATAGTGTTGTAAGTATATGCTCTGCGTTCTAAGGATCCGTTTTCAGTTCTTCCGAAGGAGCTGTGTCTCATCTTGCCGCCTTCTCGGTTTTCAGTAGCTTTGTAGCATTCAAGACCTGCTTTTGTCGGAGAATCGGTAACTACTGTCAGTCATGTGGCTGTCGGTGGGATATCTGGACGCGTTGTAGGTGTTGGTTGGTTCAAGTGACCAGCCGATTGTGCTCTACTTTTCTCGTGATTAGGTTCACTCGATTATCTTTTATTGCCATCAGCTGCATTGATGTCATCTCGGATAGAGACCTGGTTATCTGATATAATGTTCTGTGCTGTATCACCTGTGGCCTGTTCTGTTCGAGCTCCCAAAGTGTCTTTTTTTTTTTTTTTCCTTTCTTGGTATTCTTCTGTACTTTATTTAGTAAAATGAAGTCAGTCTCCTTTCGTTGTCCATCTCTACATTGATTGATCTTCCGTTTTCTCACCCCCTCTCTCCTCAATGAGCTTCCAAGTGCCTGAAGGGAGCCATTGATTGTCTTGCCTTCTATGTCATCAAAAAGACAGCTACAGAGGATTCCTTTAGCATTGATTTCTGAGAGTACCAGTGTTCTTCCACACAGGTTTCCGTGATTTGGTTTTGATGCCTGAAGTAAAGGTGTATTTTGTAGTTTTGGCCTTCCATTTTCGGGTAATGAACTTCAATCATGATCCACTTCCAGCTTTTTTAAAGTCTTTCAACTTGAATTTAAGAGTTCCTCGGACTGGACAATGATCTGAGTACGGGCCTGCTCCTATTTGTGATTTTGTGTCCAGTCAGCTGTCTCTGCACTTCAGATTCAAATGAATTGTATCTGATTTCTGCTATATCTGTCTGGTGAAACCCATATCGCTTTTTGAATATTCTAGTGCTTGTACACACTGCCTCCAATAAGTAAATCGTTAAAGGTGCAAAGTCTAAAAACATTTCTCCATTCGAATTCATTTCGCCAAGAGCCTCCCGACCCATGATGAATTCGCTACCTGTGTTGTCTGCTCCCAGATTGGCTTTTATTCATGTCACCCATTAGGTTTTTGGTGTCGCTATCTGACTGTGGTCTTATCCATAACTTAACACTTGTCTGTAGAAGTCTTTCTTCTTCCTTTGGTGTGCATAGCGAGAGTGTCTCACTGAAGATTGTAACTTTCCTATCTTTTGGATTGAATCTAAATGTCTTTGTCCGAGATGAGATTGGTTCCCATTGCGTAAGAGCTTTGACCGCTGTTGGTGATGTCTTGATAGCTACACTGTCAGTGTGCTCGTGGTTGTCGTCTGGGTGACCGAACAAGACAATGGACTCTTCAGGTAATAATTTAAGTAGTCAATTTCCATTCTATATCTGCTCTCACAGGCTCCTAGCACTTCTATATCATATCTTTTCATTTCTTGGGCAATCCGAGCTGTAGACTCAGTTTCGGACATCGTGAAGACATCCCATATCCTCGTTCCTTATATTGCTTTCAACTAAAGAAGACATCAGCTGACTGGCTGGCTTCCAGAAGGCTCTCACCAACCCGTGTTATTCCGTCTCTTCGATTTCAACGAAGAAAAGGTGTATTCTTGAAGTGGCGATAGTATTGATTTTCGGACATGGAGTCCCGCAATGATTCTTTCCTATTTTTTGTGCTTATTAGCGGCTGGTAAACCAGATGAGGTTTCGTTGTAGGGCATTAATTCTGATATTACAAAAGTATGTTCCGATTTGTTTCAATTTTAAGACGCTGACTTGTTGCTTTAGGTGGAATTGAAGAACATACAATAATCAACGTATTAATTTGGTAGTTATTAGGGCTGACGCGAAAAGCTGATTAGCTGTAGGGTTTAAAAAGGCTGTCTCCAACTCTATTACCATACGGTCTGCAAACTAATTTACCTGTCTGTATTGTCGTTGTTGACCAGATAACTAAGTAACTGTGATCCTACGCATTCATCTACGAGACAGTAGTCTGTGTCTATCTCAACTTCAATTATAATAGATCCATACTGAAATTATCTGAGTAGATTCAAAAAATATCTCATCCTTTAAGTAGTGGTTCGCAAAGTGTTCGATGAAAAGAAAGGCCTAGAATGTGTTTCCTAAAAATAATATTCAGAGTGGAATAATACTGTTGTTTTGGATATTTGGTTCATCAGCACCAGAAGTAAAGCTGCCGATTCGTCGGTGTATATAATCGACTCAGAATACCCGCCTTCAACTTCCCATTCAGCTTACATAACACAACTATGTAGTGACACAAACTTCCGTTTCTTATCTGAGAACAGTATGCCTCTTTCTCCTGGTCAGAAGAGACAATCGTCACTACACATGAGTGGAATATTTTCCATCTCATAGAAAGTGGTTTCC